CAGAGAAGAGGGCTTGTGTAAAGGCTAACCTGGCAGTGACAGGGAACTGTGGACCCACCCCAACTCAGCCCTCTCAGCATCATGTCCCATTGCTTCAACCCACCCCCCACTCCCATCCTAACATCAAGAGTCTTCTTGATGGATTGGGGGGAATGGGGCAGCGGTGAACTGGGCACCGTAATATTCACTTTGAATCCAACTACCTAAATCTATCCCCATCTATAGGATTGTTTGAGTCCTTTCAATACATATGATTAGGAAGCAACAGAGATAGAAAAAAAACTTATTTCTGACAACTGCCCACTCCATCTATCTGTACGTAAGCAGGTAGGCTACACAAATTTCTACGAGGCTACAGTTCCCTACAGAGCCTCCCGATTCGAAGGAAGACTGTCACTCGATTTCAGCCCACAAGATGTCACTAGCAGATTGTCAGGACATGGGTTGTTTTTCAGCCACTTAACATCCATTCTCATAATAGCAGCAGGCCCAGTCTTGGTCAGAGAACACATCAGTGTCCTGTCCTTCCCCAGCGAAGCGCGGCATCAAGCACAGTAGCTCCCTTTTCTCCAGGGCCTCTGGGTCCCAAACATAAAATGCAAGGACAGGACAAACATTCAGAGGAGACTCACACCAGGTATAGCCCCTTATGAGCCCTGTCGACTTGTTCCTGTTGCCTGTGTCCCTGGAGTAACCCCAGCATTGCTGGTTGAGACAGGTTCCTCAGCTGTTCTTTTGGTTCTGTGAGTTACTCATAGCTTTCGAATGCTTTTTCTTTCTGTTTAAGCTGGGCAGGGTCAATTCCTGTCGCTTGCAACCGAAGGACTCTAATTAGCACAGTGGGAAATGGGACCAGGAGAGTGGTCCTTCTTTATAAAAACAAGGTGTTGTGTCGCTTTAAGTCACCATGCACACATCCTGAGCCGTCCCGCTTAAGGGCAATGGCAGAAATAACTTACGGCTTGGTTAGGATATACATTACAAGTCCCAGGCCATATTCTGAGAATCAATATTCTACTCAACCCAAAGGAGAAAGCTGCCAGGTTTGCATGCTGAAGTAGCCATTAAGCTACAAGGGGCTGAAGACTGGTATAGGGGTGGGGTGGGGTGGGGTGGGGCGGGGAGGGCTATAGACAAGAAACAGGATAGTATTTCACAACTTTTAAATGATGTTGGGAGGAAATGATCTCTCCTATGGCACAGTCCCCTTCCCACTAACTGTATCAGACATACATCCCTTCACTTATTTACATTACCCACCTGGACCCGATTTGCCATTGAGACATCATATTATTTTACCTTTGCCACTGCTTTGTATTCCTACCTCATTCTATAAAAACAGCAAAAATGAAAAAGCACACCCACGCACACTTTTTCTCTGCTACACTCCTTTCCTTCTCACTTTCCTACATCTGGAGTACATAGCAGAGCAGCCAAACTTTTCAATTATACATACGCCGTGCAAGGGGAGAAAGCTCCTCCCCAGGGGAGAGTGCATGCTGTTGACAATGCTCCTTGAACTTGTTCAGACCGCAGTGTGGAAATAGCAAACCCGAGGAATCGGTGGGGTGAACTAAGTGGCTGCCTCCTGCAAGCACAGAACCAATGTGTGTGTCAAATTTCAAAAGAGAGTTGGAAATATCCTGCCACTTGGATTTTAGTGGAGAGCACTTGACCTTTCAAAATCCCAGCTCTCCAGCTGACACAAACCAGCCATACCTTCAAGACCACAAGGAATTAGGACTGATGCATGCGGACACCACTGAAGGGCTTCCAGCCCCTCCTTTTCTGGTGTGGTACTTCTCACACTCAGGTAACTGACTGAAACACAAACCTCTAGGACTGTGTATGGGCTGCACAGACCATGGAAAGAGACTAAATTTAGGAGTCAACCCCCACAGTTCAGACACCAGCTCTACCAGAGCCAAAGTCGCCTTGGGCGAGACTTCTATCTTTCAAAACCACAAGGACGGCGAGGGTTAAACACCGGGCCTAGGAATGTAACAAAAAGCCTGGGTTTTTTTGTTGCATGTGTGATGTACAGTTGATTCTTGAGATAGACCTTCACTCACAGCTAGCTGGTCAAGGGCCTACTCCTCCATATCTCCACCAGCCTGAAATTTATACTATTAAAGCAGGGTCTCTACATTGAGGAACTTCTGCTTCCAGAAAAATCACCTTTCAAATGCAAATGTTAGCTTGGGAGGAAAGGACAGCTCTGCGGATCTCTCTTCTCCCATCACAGTCACTCGGTGATCACAGGGTCACAGGAGGTGGTGTCTCTCAAGCCTGTGTCCCCCTTCTCTTCTTTCAGAGCCTCTCTAGAGAGTTCACATGGGACCACACCCCTACCTGTCTGTGTCTTCAATTGCTTCCTCAAGATGATGACACTCCAATTTCTCCCTCTTGTTCAGGGAGCTCTTCTCAGCTCCAGACCCTCAGGCTGACTTCTTATTTGACATTTTCACCTGGGCACCTCGCACTCCCCTCCTCAGCTCCCTTGTCTCCAGCCTGGGTCTTCTCCAGCGCGTCCTATCTCAGTGCATGGTTCTGCCCTCCGCCCAACTCAGCAAGCCAGAGACTTGGCACTCGCCTCACAGCCAACCCCTCACCAAGCCATGCTGACTTCACCTCCTAAGTATCTCTCTAGTCCATCTACCTCTCTCTCTTTCCAATGCCTTATCCCTAGATGACCATCCTACTTTCTGGGCCTCCTCCCGCCCTCTCCAGTCCATTCTCCAACACAACTGATGGGTCTTCAAAAATGCCAATCTTCTCAGATGATCTGCAGCTAAATATCCCTGAATGGCTTTTCACTGCTTCCACATAACGATCAAAATCCTGAACAAGGACTGCACAGCGCTGCATGGGTGAGGCCTGCCTGCCCCGCCCACCCATCTCAGGCCAGAGCGCCCCCAGCTCAGCTCTCCACTCTGGCCTTCCTGCCCTGCCTCAGAGACACTGTAAATGTGGCTGCCTCCATCTGCACTCCAACCTCCACCTTGCACCTCCTACTATGCCTGGCTGACTGCTCTGTTTCTTTCACATCTTATTCCCTGTGTTGCTTATTGGGGCAAACCTTCTCTGATTTGTCGGTCAAGGTCAGGACCCCCTGTTGGAATAACTTTTAGTGCCTTATATGTTCCTTTTTTGGTATGCAGCATAGACTGCCATCACATGTTTATTCTGGCTGGAGTCGACCTACCTCCCCCATCAGACGGTAAGCCCCATAAGGACAGAGGCCATGTCTGACTTATCACCCTTTCATCTCCAGCACTATATTAAAACATGTTTACTTAACATACATTTTTGAAAGTCCATCATGTGCCAGAACGCATTTAAGTCTCCCCAAATTATGGAATGTAAGGGTTTATGTAGGATCTCACTCTTTAGGGCCAGGAAAACAGTACATTTCTGAGTAGATTTGCAAGGTGGAGGAAGTGGGGCAAAAAGTTTAAAATGATGCCAAGTGCAAAGCCCAAAAGCAGGGAGAGAACGCCCAAAAGAGATGCAAAGTATGAGGTGAGTTAGGCAAACAAGGCAGTGGGCAGACCCAGAGGACAGAGCCGATTGAGGGATGGAGAACTGGAGAATTAGAGCTTGGCAAAGGACAGGAAAGAATAGAAAAAAATAAGGTTCATTGCCCACTCCACAGTGTTTCTAAGGCCAAGCCCCCTTCCCTTTACCAAAAGGCTTTACTGAATGTTCCAGTCGCCCAGCAGAGAACTGACCCAAGAGGATCCCAGAAATAGAACAAAATTTCATACAGCCGCTCCTGGCCTTGCCAAGCATCCCTCCCCACTCTCCTACTCCTGCCAAATGGTGAGGAATCATCCACCAGCCCCAGGTGCTGAATTATTCAGTTATTCTAGCAGCTTTCAAAACATGTATGTAGCTAGAAAATCTCCCAAAAAGAAAAGAATCATCTTATTTGGGCTACTAGGTCATTTCTTGAACCTCTCTTGAATCCTGGTTTGCCACGGAATTGCTTTTCAATTGAACAGTAGTTCACTGACACCCCACCCTTCCTAGCACAAAGCAGTGGCAAACCTATAATCACAAGATGACCTGCTGTTAAGTCTGCCATTTCAAACAGGCGGGCTACTTCCCAATCCCGCACGGCAGCCCCCAGGCTCCCACACTTACCCAAGACTGAGGTCTGCTGCAGCACCTTGAATAAACACCGAACAGAAGAGCTAAAGATATGAAGAACAACCTCCAACTATCCATGATCCCCCTGCACATACACCAACCTGTCTTTTTTCAGTAAAAAAAAAAAAAAGACTTCTAACTTCCATCACAATGCTAAAGCCACCGAAATAATCCGCACTTCGATCTGGAAACCCCTCTTCAATGCCTCACCCACAACCCACCCACCCACTGCATGTCAGCTCTCTGAGATATTTTCTTCGAGTCGAACAAACCAAAGAGAATGTTTTGGGGAAAAAGAAAAGCCAGTCACGAAACAAGCATTTAAGGCTGCATTTTAGTACAGAGCTTCCTCAGGAGCTCTATTTCTAGCTCTGAAGATGCACAGCTCGAAGATGAGTTGAGCCAAAAAAAAAAAGCAAGTATCTACCAGAGGTCACTTTTAACCCCAAGTCAATTATAAAACTCACCTAAGAGAGAATGACATTTTTCATTAAATCAAAAAAATCTGAACCACGCAATCTCAGGCACTGCCCACTGAACCTCAAATATGGCTTCCAGAGAGTGAATTACAGTAACAGATAGAGAGGCATCTCACTGGAAACAGATTAAGGCAACCTTGCAAATAGTCGCTTGCCCACACTAAGAGTGTACGTCACCCAAGGGACAGGGTGGGGATGGGGAGCTGGGCTCGGGAATGAGAAAATGCATCTGCTTCTTCACACAGGCTGTTGCAAGGCAAGACCAAGCTCTGCCATCATCCCTCTTTCCCAGGTGCCCCAGAAGCCAACGGTTGTAGGTTGAAAAGAGCAAATACTCATGCCCCATTCTCCTTCTCCATTCTTCCGTACCATTTCTCCATCTGTTCAGCTCCATCTCCAGATGCTGGATAACATTCTTCAAAGTCTTGTTTTTCTCCTTCTCTTTTTCGTATTTCTTCTTCCATTCTTCTGCTGTCAGTTCCAGGTTCACAGAGACTGTATTTTTGATGGTCTTAGCCCTGGGGTTAAAAGCATAAGGGAACGATTGTGAGCATAACTATTAGCATTAGACTAAGTCCCCTCTCATGTCAAAAGACTGGGACTGGGGGAGCAGGAAAAACTCTGTCACTTTTACCCACCACCCTTCTAGCTGTACTAATGGCACTGCTACCTTAAGGCTCCAAACTCTCCTTTACCTCCTACCAGCCTCTACAGCCAATGGATTTTCATTCAAATTGTCTCAGGGTCACCTCTTTCTCTATTCCCTATCACCATCTTAGTCTGTGTTCTCAGCCCTGACTTACAGTTATAGCCTTTTTCAAACATTCAGTATTCTTCTTTAAGCATCTTCACACCACTGCCAGTTCTTCTTCCTAAGTAGAGCTTCCTCTCAACTCAATTAACATTTATGAAACATGGGATATACACCAAGACAAATGAGAGAAGGTCTCTGGGCTCTCAGAGCTTGCAGTTTCTCCTACCAATAACACACAGACTGAAATAATACAATCAATTCTTTCTCTGACTCACAATTGGTACTTAGACTCTGCCCTGACGTGTGGAACACACGTCTACACATGCCTCCTGGGCCAGGCGAGTCACTCAACCGAGTCAGGCTGCCAGGTGAGACCATGGCTCCCTCCTGAGCACATGCCCCATCACAGCCGATGTTCACCATGGAAGAATGGAGAGCCACAGTTCTCAAGTCATCCATTTTTCAAGAAAAGTCAGAGATTGAGATTTTTATTTATAGCGCCCAGTTTAAAACAATTTTTCAAAATAAACATGTGATGCAAACAAACATGTCTAATGGCCACCAATTTGCCATCTCTAGTACAGAGATGGAGTGACCTCCTAGGATGCACAGTCGCGGGTGGGGTGGAGGGTGATGCCACAAAATGGCTGTGTGGACAGTAACACAACGGGGACTGATGGGAGCCAAGGCAGGGCCAGCTCTAGCTGATACTAGAAACAAAAAGACACGCCCCACCTACTTAGGCACAGAAACGAACCCATAAGCAGACTTGTCTAATTAAAAAGTAAATTGACCATGGCAGAATTCCACTTGTTACTTACATTTTTAAGAAAGCAAAAGCATCATTAAAAAATATGTGATATTCTGTTTTATTTGCTATTGATTTTTCTTTTTTTTTCTTTTTAAGGAGGGCACAGCTCACAGTGGCCCATGTAGGGATCGAATCAGCAACCTTGGTGTTATCAGCACCATACTCTAACCAACTGAGCTAACCGGACACCCAACTTTTTCATTTTAAACTCCCACCAGTTCTTGTACTGTCGTATTTGCTAGCACTATAAAATTCATGATTCAGGTTAATTGCTGTTAGCATCAAATGACATTTTGGACAGGATTTCTATTTCAGTGAAAGAAATTCAGCAGTCCTTACCAGTGCTACAGGTGTCATTCTAAAAATTAATTCCTAAAGCAGACAACTAAATGACCCAACTGTCAAAAGAAGAGTTACACGATATCAATGTAAGACTTCACTTAAGAATTAGTATAATTCTCCCTCGTTCACTGCAGCTTGAGGCTGCTGTCCTCAGAAGTGCTTCAACTAATTTTTCAAATGGCAGCAATTTTATTACCACTTTATGCCCATGCTAGGTTGACACTCACCTCGCCTGCTGGACATCCTCAGGGGGTGTCATGGATGCTTCTCTGAGACAAGCACCAACACTGCAGCATCCGTTATCAACTTAGTAAGTCAGAAAGTGAAAAACACCCATGGCTAAAAATGCTTGTGGACATTTAAAGGTACACTTTGAGGCTACTAATCTTACTTTTCAAATCATAAAGAGTCTCTTGATGACTTCTAGTGATACTAGAAAAACACAGACTCTATGCTGTACTCAGGCAGGTCTAGCCAGAAGTGCATTTTTGTAAGCAGACCCAGCAAGGGTATCACTGGCGAAACTGGTCCTCATTCTCAAAGTTCTTACAAGCGGCCCAGAAAATTCTTTTTCCTCCACTTATGTAGTAATGAGGGTCCTGGCAAGAAACAGACGGCCAGCTCAAACTGCATAACTTGGGAAGAGTTTAACAAAGGTAGGGGAAGGGTGTTGGGAAATAACAGGAGAGAATGTGTACAGCACATCAGTGATGGGGGGAGCCATTACCGCCCGTAGGCTGAAGGCTGCCCACGGGAAGTGCGAACAGCCTTGAGGAAAACAGCCAACCCAAAATGACCCTGCAGGGGAAAAGCCAAGACAGTAACACCCTGACCTCACTCTCTTCCCTCCTTCTGATCACCTAACCATGGGCCTCCCCGACTGCTCAAACTTAACTGGAAGCCAGAGGCAAGCGGGCCCATTGTAGGTGTCCAAACTGGTCACTCCCAGGGCCCAGGGCAGAGCAGGGATGGTACAGAAATGATCCAGAAGAACAGAGGGAAAATGTACAGTCCACCTCCTCTTTGGAACTCAGAGCAATGCTGGGAAACCAGGACTCACGCCACTGCCCAAGACCTCATTCACACCTCTCCAGCCACTACAGGAAGAATAGGAAGAAATCCCTCAACGCCGATAGAGAACGACATTAAGTCTCCCCAAATTGCTTGTAGATTTCAAATAGCCTCAAATAAAATCCCAGAAGGTTTGCACATGGGTATAGGAATCGATAAGCTGATTCTAAAATTTATAAGAGAAATGAAAAAAAAAACAAAAAGAGCAAAGATGTTTTTGAAGAACAAAGTCAGAGAATGGAATAGCAACACGTATTATATAGCCAAAGTAATTAAAACTGATTCCAGAAAATTTGGAACACAAACAGAATGGACTATCCAGAAATACACTCAGCTATATAGTCATCTGATTTACAACAAAGGTGCCCATACAATACAGTGGGAACGGATGGTTGTTTCAATGTATGGTACTGGGGGGAAGGGGGTGACTTCTATCCACTTCCCCAATACTATATATAAAATTGTATTCCAGATGGATCATACACATAATGTGAAAGGTAAACAATAAAGCCTCTAGAAGAAAACAGGAGAATATCTTCAAGGCCCTGGGGTAAGCAAAGATTTCTTAAACAGGACATAAAAGAGATAAATTTGATTTCATTAAAATTAAAAAAACCTCTCTTCATTAAAAGTCAACATGTAAAAAGTTAAAACATAAGCCACCAAGTGGGAGAAGATATACATAATACATATATCTAACAAAGGACTTACCCAGAATAACCCCTATAAATCAATAAGAAAAAAAAGCAGACAAGCAGTGAAAAAAAATGGGCGAAGATTTGAGTAAGCACTTCACAAAAGTGACAAAAACACTCTAAAAAGGGGGTGCTTGACATCATTAGGCATCAGGGAAATGCAAAATAAAATGACAGTGAAGTGCCTTTCCACACTTAATAGAAAGGCTAAAACTTTTTAAAGTAATACCAAGTGTTGGTGAGGAGGTGCAGAGACTATTAACATGCAACTGCTGGCACACCAACAAAATGGATTATCTGGAGGGAGGGTAAATCATTCTAATCATTTTGAAAAACTGGTAGTATCTACTAAAGCAGAATATCTCCTATCCTATGAGGAGCAATTCCACTCCTAGGTATATAACCAATAGAAATGAGGACATATGTTCATCAAGCTATGATAACCAGGGGCAGCTGGTTAGCTCCGTTGGTTAGAGCGTGGTGCTCATAACACCAAGGTTGCTGGTTGGATCCCCACGTGAGCCACTGAGTTGCACGCTCCACAACTAGATTGAAACAGTTCGATTACTTGACTTGGAGCTGATGGGTCCTGGAAAAACACACTGTTCCCCAATAAAATTTAAATACACACACACACACACACACACACACACACACACACCAATGTCACAATAACTTCATTTATAATAACCCCAAAATGAAAACAAATCATATCTCCATCAACAGTAGAATGCCTACATACGTGCTATATTCAGACAATGGAATACTATATAGCTATAAAAAATAAAACAACTGCTATGCCTAACAAGGTAATGAATTTCAAAGATACAATGCTGCATAAAAGAAGCCAGATACAAAACTTATTGTATGATTTTATTCAAATAAAGTTCAAGTTGATATGACACTTATGTTTGAGATTTGGGTGTTGACTGGGAGGGTGCAAGGGATAGAGAGGCTTCTAAGATGCTATGTGGTGGTTCATGCGTATATGCATTCATAAAAATTTACTGAATTGCACACTTAAAAGTTTATGCATTTCACCGTATGTATGTTATATTAAAGAAAAATAAGAAAAATAAGATGTAGAAAGAAATCAAGTCAGATACAAGAATTTCTAGATCATGGAATAAAAGAGTTACTAAGTGAGTTTGAATTTCTGTGTCTGGAGTTATTTTTTTTTAATTGAACAAATATTCCCTTATCTAAGATGTTGAAACAAACTTGTTAAGTCTAATAGAATAAAGAGTGTCCTAGTCTTTTATTTCCATAAGAGACCTAGAGTAAAAAGATGTTGAACTACAATCTCTTTTGCTGTTCACCATGAACTTGAGGAAAATTTACAGACTAAAGGAGACTAATGATTAGGTTCTATCTAATTTTTGCCAGTCACAATTCCTTTTCCTCCTGTGTGAATACTTAGCTCGCTGCCATCCATGTGGGTTAAGTGGTGGTCTGTTATTTGCCTTTGTCACTTCAGAGACTATCCAAGAGTCTCCCAGCTTCCAGCTTTGCTCTTTTATTTTGTAATTTTCCACATGCTTGCTAGCTGTAATCACACTAAAGAGCATTATACCTGGACTCTCTGTTCAAACACAGTGAAACCAGCAGGAATCCTGGGCACTCAGAACCGCACGTGGACACAATTCAGGGACACACGTGCATTTACTGCTTGATTCCAAGAGAACTTCAGGTAGCTTGCAAGGAAACTTAACATTGACAGGAAAGCAGAAATTAAGAAATGTTCTTAAGGCAGGCTTTATAATTTTGTCTAGCTGAAACTATATAGCAATAATGATACCGCTCAGCCCTGTAGTTTTGGGACACTATCACCTCGATATAGGAAAA